TTTGTTATCGTTGAGAATTAAATTGTTCAGATGGAATATTTTCGGTGATCTTGGATGTTGTTTGTGAGCTTGAGCATGGAACTGATTGAAACAGTATTTGTGATAATTAATTGGAGGATGTCACTTGAAACACCTATGAGTGCATGTAGTTAACTGATGAGGAATGTGTAATATTGTAACGTAGATAACTTAAAGAATGACATTCACACAGATTGGAGGCTGTCAGATTAATATTTTCAAATAAATATACTTTAATCAAAAAGAGTCGAGAAGGGAAAGAATGTAGTATATGTGACATGGTAGTAATTGAATAAAAATCAATTAACCTTCATTCATTTGGTGTGAAGTCGACAAATTGAATTTGGCAGCACTGAGCGTCGACGTACACGAATTGACAGATTGGCGTTGCCGGCACCGTCGAAAAATTTGCTCTTCCCAGCAAATATCGACAGTTTCTTATGGGAAATTTCGGTGGAGCGAAAGGATAGTACAAAATCCGCCATGTTTCACGCACAGTCTCACGTTTGCTTATGAATTTTCTCATAGGAGTAAAGAGCTACAGAGTCGCCGTCAACGCCAATACGTACTGAGGTTGGTTTGAACTTGAGTTTCGGAAAGCTCCGAATACACGAATATTAAAGAGCCTGAATTTATAAAGAGGTGACATCTTATACATTTGACAGGTCTTCTGCTTGATTGGAATGACTTTTCCTATGACTTTGACAGACAATCGATTGTTCCAATTTTGACATGTCATCTCTTTATAAATTCAGGCTCTTTAACGAATATGATTCGTGTACTGGCAATCGAACATCGGCTTCGATGAATGCGCATAAGATGCGAAGTGAGGGAGATGAAATAATGAAGAATTGGAATAAGCCTTTGGGTTGGAAGAGTGTGACCCGATGTGTGAACTAGTCAATCGAGCTCGTTCAGACTAGCTCGTTTACTCGTTATTCTTAAAGCGGGCAGTCGCTGGTGTGGATCGCGGAAGAGTTTGGCTGGCGTCGAGATGGGCAGGAGCTAATGTTCACGAAAAGTTCACTATTTTACCATACAGAAATTCAAAACAAAAAAAATTATGGGTGGTTTTGGACAGTTTTTGACCTGTTTCATACGACCGAAAGGCTGGTCACAAATGCCGTGCCAAACTGATTTCCTACGCAATTAATCAACCTTTGATGTGAATTTCGCTAATAAACACAAGGAGCATTTCTTATAGCAACACTTGCCATAACAAAATGGGCATAGTTCATTTTAGTAAACAAACTAACACTTCTTCCTTGTGTGTCACCTTTGATGAAGCTCCTAGGACTCTAGGAGAGGTTTAGACCAGTTCACGACAGATCTCACTTAGTTATGGGATTTTCTATCCTGAGCGATTGGTTGCTTTCGCATTTAATTTGGGGCTCCACCGCGTTGAGTCTTGTCTCGTAGCGCGTGACCGATCCACCGTCACATATCTAGATAGAGCTGGAATTAGGACGTAACAGCTTTTGTAAACAATGACTTCTCTAGATTATTTCTAGGAATCCAAGGAACGCTCACGCAATCCAATACAACCATCGGCTAGGGGAAGTCTTCCCTACCCTAAGATGTTGATTTTCTAGAAATCGTCGAGAGAAGTCATTGTTTACAAAAGCTCTATCTATGTTCTCGAATTTCTGATCGCATTGAAGATGAGCTCAACATCCGAGATCCAGTAATAAGATCACCAAGTAAATAAATGCCTCACGGTCTAAACAGATGCTTGCGTAGAACACGCTTAGCACGCTTAGAGTGATCAGAAGAGCGACGAATGACCTGAGTGGTACGATTTTCAGGAAGTCCTCCCAGCTTGGCTTCCCCGGTGGCATCGACATCATCGCACAAAACTTTGAGACGATGGTGGACACTTAGGGCCCACGCACATTAGATCCGGATCGGACGCGTTGCGGCAAAGTGACAGCTAAATCTATTGTCTAACTGTCGAATTTACGTCAACGCAACGCAAACGGATCTAATGTGGGTGGCTCTTTAGGGTAGCGTGTTGTAATACGCGGCCCCTAAGGAAATGATCGATGGCCCCCCCTAAGTACTTTTCGATGGGCCTTAGTTTCGGTGCGTTGGGGGTGGTGGGGGTCATGTCCTTGAGTACGAAACCGTTGGCTTCGTGCCACTCCAGGACAACATTTAAATAGTGGCACGAAGCTAGATTCGGCCAGAAGATCGCAGGGCCCTCGTGTTGCTTCAGCAGACGGTTCTGTAGACACTCCTTGAGGTAGATCTCCCCGTGTACAGTCCCGGTAGTCACGAACGGTGCACTCCGTCTGCCACATGAGCAGATCGCTTGCCAGATCATATATTTCTTGGCAAACTTTGAAAGTTTCTGCTTCCTTACTTCCTCCGGAACATCAAACTAGTGCTGGGTGGTGAAGAACAGTAGCCCTGGAAGCTGCCGGAAGTCAGCCTTGACGTAAGTCTCATCACATCATCCATGATGAGACAATGAGGCTTCGTCAGCATCTGGGTGTACAATTTCCGGGCCCGTGACTTTCCCACCGTATTTTGCCGTTCGTCACGATTTGGAGTCTTCTACACTTTGTACGTATGCAGTCCCTCCCGGTCCTTGACTCTCTGAACGAAAGACTTGGACAGATTCAACATCCCTGACCGAAGCATTGGGATTCCGATTAAACGCTTTCACGACACGCTTGTGATCCTGATCACTAATTGAACATCCATTCTAACCGCATTTCTCCTTCCGTTCGATGTTCAGAGTTTCGCAGTAACGTTTAATCACACGACTCCCAGTTGACTGCACGATTCCGAGTTGTTTTCCGATGTCCCCCGATGAGAGACTTGAGGATTTTCCAGGTGCTTGCGCAAAATCAATTCGCGACGTTGCTTTTCGGATGACGCCCTTTTTTCCAACTTTCGAAAAACTGACAGTGATAAAAATACACTGTAAACAATACACTCTAAACTACTTCTACCCAAATTTTCAAGAGAAAATATTCAATGGCTAATTTTCTATAGCGTTTTTTTCCGTGATGCAATTTGATGTGGGACACCCTTTAGCGCGAATTTCAGTTGCTCCTGAAATATCATGCTGGTAGACGCTGATGCCCTGTTTACATTATGCTGGTGAGCTTTTTTTTGTTAAAAAATGAAATGTCACCTATTAAAAATTTGTTTACTAGAATACACATATCTCCGGCTGTAATGAAGCGATATCAATTATTTTAATGTCAAATTACAAGTGAGAAAATTTGCTTTCAATCAACTGGATACTATTTTTCAGTGAGATTAGTTGTATTGTTTTCACCACCACTACAAACATTTGTATTTACCTTGCTTAAAAACTTTGCTGAAATCAAATTTTTCTTGGAAATATGCAAAACATTAAAAAAAGAAAAACAATCTATTAATTAACAACAATACCACTAATCTCACTGACAAATGATGTTCAGCTGATCGAAATAAAATTTTCTTTGGGGTTTAATTTGGGGTTCAAATAATTGATATAGCTTCATTACAGCCGGAGATATGTGTGTTTTAGTAAACCAACATTTTTGTGAGTGAAATGCAGCTATCTATAAAACTATCCTACTGAGATTTTTTTCTGGCTACATTTTTGGATTCAGCGCACGATTTTACATAAGAATCATATAACAAACATTGAAGTTCATTTTTGTTTACTACGTAAACTAGTGTAACAGAACATGCAGTTCAAATGGAAAGGTTGTCGAAGAAAAAGAGGCTGCCGACAATAGTTAACAACTCCCCTCAGAAATTTGGAGCGTTGTAATAACGTATTCAACCCGTTTTGGACAATTCTGTCGATTGGAATGGGTATAATAGAGATTTTCACGCCTGGTTGTATTCGTGCGCTGCGTGAAACTGTGGTAGTGAAAATCCAAGAAAAATACATAACAAACCGCTGTCAATCTCATTATGGCTGATGAATTACATACATTTTGAGGTTAGCCCGAGGAAAATAATAAACAACTTTACACGGTGATAGACCCTCGTTAGTGTGCGTGCGTTAAACGTCACTAATCTCTATAGCAAGCAGTAGATAAATGTAAACAAACCAACACGTCATATGTGTGCAAACAACGTCAAATTGCTAATAGAAATGCGGACACTGCTTAGGTTGACGAGAATACGTAAATTAATCTACCTACGACCTACATTCTAGTCAATACCGTTCAAATCTATAAAATGAATTTCCGTCTGTCTGTGTGTCTATCTGACCCTTATAGACTCAGAAACTAATGAACCGATCGGCTTGAAAATTTGTAAACAGGTTTTTTTGGAGCAGGGAAAGGTTCTTATGATGGCTCTCATACAAATGAAACAAAAATTTCTGCATAACTCGAGAACTAATCAAGCAAATGGAACCAAATTTGGCATGTGGAGGTCATAGGGGGTAGCCTCTTAGATAAGAGGGAGGGGGGCTACGTACAATATACCATGCTTTTTTTCAATTAGCGCTTAAACTCAAGCTAATATTGAATCCCGAGGAAGGCCGGGCACAATCAGCTAGTGACCTATAAAGATCGAAGATTGGTTGTAAAATGGCTGAGATATGAGCGAAACACATTTACATGTTTTTAAATTGTGTCCCTAAACTTATGATCGGAAGTGTATCTACAAATATTTTCAAATTTCATTATCATTTTTGAGGTTCATTGAGGTTCTGATTTTCGCCCATCAACTGTGTTGCCTACAAGCTAAATTACGATTACGAGTAGTGTGCGGTTTGACCGAGAAATAGTCGATATTATGCGGAAATACCGATGTCAAGTGAAGTCTGATGAAAATGCACATAAGACTGATATGAGATTATACGCTACTAAATGGGCAGCACACACATTTCGCTCTTCTAATGCCTGCCGCATATAATCTTCGAACAGCAACAAGTACCTCTTTACCCGTGCCGTTATTACCAATAAACAAGTGCTTATGGTTGATTTCATGCATTTTCTTCTTCTCTTCCTCCTCTCCCTTTCCAGCGAACCCTTCGAGACGAAACCGATCCTGGCATCAGCTTTAACCATAGTCAAAGGCAAACATTCCTTGTTAGATATAGTTAGAGTGGAGACACGGTCTAAAGTGAGTATTAGTACATATATCAAGAATGCCATAATGGGAAGCTAATCGGCACTGCTATTTTGTCTTCTGTCCGTAGATTATGTTCTCATTCCTGTCGGTTGGCTGGGGTCTAATCTCGGACATCGATATCGAGAGCGAGAGACTGCGGGCCATCGGTGGCCAACGGTTTACACTTTGGTCCGTCCATCGGCTAATCAGCCTACGTACCTATCAGGGCAAGGTATCGTACGTACCGGCGCTAGTTAGTAATATGAATAGATCCAACTCGCTGCCCCACGAAGGTGGCGTAGGAGGAGGTGTAGGATTACTGAAACACAGCATAAGTTACAATACTACCTTGGACTGTCACGACTGCCGGACCGGTGGAGGTGGTGGTGCAGGAGCCAACGATAGCCACAGCAATTGCGATGCCTGCGATACAAATTTCAGTGATGTTCTTTCGTTGGAAACTGGAAGTAATCTGGACACTTTTCGGCCCCGTATCGATAGCTGGTATTCGGCAACGTCCCGCAAGAGCACCTACTTCTCCACGGTGGACAGCATTTACGAAAGTGATCGCGCTTCCAACGAGGGCACACCGAACGGTGCCAATGTGGCGCAGATGTACGGGCCACCTTCGAGGCTTCCAGCACTGACGGCTCCAGTGTCGGACGGCTGGAAGACCATCGACGGTGAATTTGTGATGGTGCATGCGGCCTACCAGACGCATCTGAGCACGGATTGCTTCTTCGCTCCCCTTTCCAAGCTAAATGATGGCATCATTTGGTTGCTGATCATCAAGGCAGGAGTTAGTCGATCGCAGCTGTTGTCGTTCCTGCTGGGACTGAGCAACGGGTCACACATTCCAACGCAGGCCAACCGATACATCCAGATGATTCCAGTGACGGCATTCCGGATCGAACCCAGTGGCTCCAGCGGTCATATGACCGTGGACGGCGAGAACGTTGAGTACGGTCCAATCCAGGCGGAGATCTTTCCTAGTTTAGCCAAAGTGATGGTACCGAAATGATTATCCTGAGGTATGAATGTGTTTGTGTAGTTTCGTTCACGGATAGTGTTGCTGCAGTGGGTATGGTGTTTGAAATATCCATTACGAGTATGTATTGTTAGCACCCGATATAGGTGGGTGGGAAATAATAGTGATTCAATGGATGTCAATTGGCTGAACCTCCTCGTCAAGCCGCTTATGAGAATGTATGAATGCAACGAGTAAAGTGTTTTGGTTGATATTCATCGACTTGTTTATGTCCGGAGCGTATTTCTGAGTACGTCAATGGGAGAATGGATGGACGACTATCGATCGATGGTAATATGCACACGCTCCCGCTCCTCATTTTCAGGGAAGAGGCCTGTGAGAACCAAACTTTTAAATTGGTAATTTCGCTCCCCAGGGATCATTGTAAACCAACTTCGTGTAGATTCTGCAATTCGTTAGCGACATTATTTAAACGGAAAACATTACCTATAGGCAAGTGGATCGTACTGTTGTGCGTGCTTGAACTACATAGAACTTTTTCCCAAAGCTGCTATGTATAACTTCCTTCTGGAGAGCAAGAGTAACCTTACTTACCTTACCGATTAGGCTAAGGCCTTGATGCCCTCTGCTGTCCGAAGAAGTCGTCTCCACTCTAGTCGGTCCATGGCTCAGAGAAAGAGAGTCACTTCTACTCATAGGTATAGAGAAATCTCGAAAAGCTGCAGAAACTCAACGCTGAGTGCCTGCAGTTTTTAGAAATTCCTTATACAACTGAGTAGAAGTGACTCTCTCTAAGTTATTCTCAGTGGCCATATTTATAGTTATTTCTATAGAGTACAAAATGTAGAAATGTATTCATCGAAAAAAGCAATATTTCCAGAGAAACCGCCAATTTACTGAACATTTCCATGCTGCAAAACCGACTTGACTTGGAAAGTAGCACCTTATTAAGGCTCTGAACCATTTGGTGGATTATTTTAACTTTTGGTTAAAATTTGACAGATGGAAAGTTATCGATTAACCCTGCTATCCGAGCATGGTTATTTCTGACAGAAAAGAAGTTAAATTTTGACGACCGTGGCTCGAAAACCGGTCGATCGACAGCACGGGGATTTTCGAACATAAGAAATAACTTTCGAAATGTCACTTTTAACCACGAGTTAAATTTAACTCGGCAAATGGTCCACAGCCTAAGTTCTGCAAACAGAATCTTACACGAACACTCGATGCAACGTGTAAATTAATAGGATTTTGACAGTTCTTGCAGCTGGAGAAGACTATGATGCCGGGCAAGGTTGTCATTCGCCAAATTATTCCTACAGTTAATTCTCAGTTTTGCGTAGGCCTTAACAACCATTATTACAGATGAGCAGGAAGGATATTTTTCGATCGACTTTACCCTGCTTTTTCCCAATAAAATTGGGAACCTAAGGGCAGACGTCCACTGTTGTGGTGGCGGTGTGGCATCTATTAACATGGGAAAACATCATGTCAACATCGACATTATGTTTCGACACAAATGGGTACCTGGCTTAAGGATTGGTAATATACTTCTGCCACCTATTAAAGACGACTACAGCAGGTGCATCCCGGCTTGCTTCCACTCACTTGCTATAAAAAATTGTTTTTCGGAATTATTAAATCATTAGATATTATAATGATAGTTAGTAGTTGTAAGTCACAAGATAAGGTTGTAAACTAGGTGTTTAACACATAAAACCTGTCATTATTGCTTTCAGTGCGTCACAATACGTGATTTTACGATTCGTGAGCGCTCACTCTGAGTGAACGCTCACGAGTCATAAATTCGCTGATTGTGACGCACTGAAAGTGAAATTGACAGGTTTTATGTGTCAAATACATACCTTCCAACCTCTTCTTGTTTCTGACAAGTAAAAACTTTCATAATAGCATCCAATGATTCCATAGTTCCGAAAAACATTTTTTATAGCGAAGTGAGTGGAAGTAACCCTGGGTGCATCAGTACCATCTAATATCCTCCGGACACGAATCAAAACATATTCTTTTGAAACTGCAGCTAAAAAAAAATGTGCGCTCATATACAGGAACTTACCAGCATTGAAGCTCATCTACTGAAAAGCAATTGTATCATCAAGTATCGTCAAATTTATTATGGTTACAATATCAAAAAATGAACGCAGATCAATAAAAAAAAAATCAAATATCACAAGTAACATGGAGCAATTATGAACTCAAACCTTTATTTTAAACCCTATTCCAAATCGACATAAATCGTAGTGAAATAGATACCCATAACCATAATTACCAATTAAAACGAACATTTTCACAAAACTAATATTTGTGCTAAAAATTACCCCTTTCAAGAAAAAAAAAACCTAGTGAACATTTACCCCCCATAATCTAAATTAATCCTTTAGATGAAGAAAGAAAATTACCTTGCCGACATTTATAACGGTGGCAAATGACAGAGAACACTACCAAGTAATATCAAACTGATCTTAAAGTAAACAAAAGAAACGAACAAAGGTTGTAGATTTTAGCCAAATTCACATCTGTTAGAAAATCACCCACACTTACACACACACACACCCATACATTCGAAATTGAAGTATTAATTAGCCAACAGTAAGCGGAATATAATTGCATTGAAAGTTTGTTATGCTTCCTTCGAACTATTGTTTTCATCTGTTATCTAGTCTGTAATTTAGCGTGTTTAGGCAATTGTTACCATATGCAAACGGACAAAGATCAAAGAAGCGGGAAAGCGCCATTCTCCACTAAGTAGCAGATTTTCGGCAGATTAGGTAGAGGTTTCAGTTATCCGAATCGTTCCGTAAACCAAAAACCGTAAACCTCCGAGAGGAAGTTGTTTTGTTACGATACAATAGCGGTATGTGCGTAGGTGCAGTTTGTACAGTTGGGTTTTTGGAACTTTTGTAAGGCTTATTAGTGGCGTGGTGTAGATTACCACGGTTCTATTGGTTATACAATATTTGTTATTGTAATCGGGATGATTGGACACCACACAGATGTAATTTGTAAGGCAAACATTATAGTGCATCAAATATGCCAGTAAGAACAAGGTTACAAACAAATACAACATTTTCATCACATTTCAAACGACGGTTAGTAAAGGTTCTGGTGGTGTTTCTACTTTGAAAGAAAGCCCCTTCTAATGCTATTTATTTTAATTATTAATGTTATTATTATAGAGTTTTTGCACTTCTTAGCTAAATTGCTGGAAATTGTTCTTGTTTTCCGTAATGAGTATCAATGCTACCGACGCCAGGAAGGCAGCTCCCACACCTGGACCCTACACCACTCGAACACGAACAGCGGTGATGGAGCACAATGATTTCATCCAAAAATAAGTTAAAATTACCCAACGGTGAACACATGACGGTTGAGTACCTTTAACTAAAAAATGAGTTCTTTTTATGCATCACATTTTACAAACATGTAACTTTTAAAGAAATACCCAGACAACCAGAAGTCGTATAATAATGTACAGACAGTATCGTAATTTGCTACAGTTTTAGTCAAAATCGCATATAAGAATGGCATACCTCGCATTATGTTTAAGTTAAATCGTATAGAATGCAAATTTCCGACCAATATGCGATGACTCATTTTTCCATCGTACTGTATCACAAATTAAATCGGATTACATCGTAAGACTTTTCAAAATGAATTTGTTATTACAGATTAAATCGTATATGATGTTAAATCAACTCGTTTAAAATTAAATTAAAATCTGCACGTATATGGCCTCCACTTTTGTACGTATAAGCCATTTCTTTGCATTATATACGAATTGTATGTTTGTGTATATGTTTGTATATCACGAAAACAACTTTGAATATACGTGCATTCTGGTTGTCTGGGATACGTCAATCAAGTACTACGTCAATCAAGATGTCAATCGATTATGCAAAGCTTAACAATGATTAACAGAAAATAAACTTATACGTATTGGAGTTCATCCACCGACAAACCAACTTAAATGACCAAAGCATCAACAATTGGCGTTGACGGCAACTCTGTAGCTCTTTACTCCTAATGGTAAAATCCATAAGCAAACGTCAGACTGTGCGTGAAACATGGCGGACTGTGTACTATCCTTTCACTCCATCGAAAAATCCCATAAGAAACTGTCAATCTTTTCTAGAAGAGACAATTTTTCGACGGTGCCGTCAACGCCAATAAAATTTCTGACCAAAGCACACTACTGACATCTGGCTCCGTGTTCGCGGGAAATATTTAGCTAAGTCATAAACCCGCATGTAAAAGTTATGAATTGGTTCGTGTCTGATCTATTCTGGAAAAATATTTTTACCTAGATAAAAAAATCCTTTGTTTTTGACAGTTCGGATCACTGCACATTTAAATCGGTCGTTTACGATTTTCGGGCATAAGTCAGAATTAAGTGTCATGTCGGTTTATCGGTGGTTCATCTATCAACGCCACTTTTATGATTCACTCAATGGCTGACCTCAAATGATAGAACCCAACGGTGAGTTTTTTTTAAACTTAATTTTGAGGATTTTATTTTTCCCGTGAGAAGATTATTTACCTTGGTCTACACGGAAATGGAAACCTACCCAATTAAGTACTTTTCCCTCAATTCCCGGGTTCAGCTCAATAACACAAATTTGAGTAAATCGCATAAAGTAGTTTCCATTAAACACCAGCCCAAAACAAAAACTTACTCTTAAGTATAACCCAAAATTTAGTTAAATACACGTAAATTTAAGCATATGCAATTTACACAAAAGTAGCTTATTGGGCTAAACTATTATATCGTTGGGTCGAATCTCTTCTTCCTTTTTTGGAAGCAATTGGCGTTGACGGCACCGTCGAAAAATCGTCTCTTTTAGAAAAGATTGACAGTTTGTTATAGGATTTTTCGGTGGAGTGAAATGATAGTACAAAGTCCACCATGTTTCACGCACAGTCTGACGTTTGCTTATGGATTTTACCATAGGAGCTAAGAGAAGAGGTGACAATACGGGGGCGAAAATGAACCACTTTTCTGTCAAACGTGAACCAGCTCCTGATTGACCGATTTCATGTGCGTAAGATAGAGATAGAAATAGATAAAGAGAGATAGAGATAGAAATAAAAGAGGAAGAAGCCAATTGTCATCTCTTCCTCTTAGCATAGGAGTAAGAGCTACAGATTCGCCGTCAACGCCAATAACAAGTGTAAGTGAGCGACTCTACACGGATAGAAATCTCCTTATACCTTTTGGCAAATTTCTATTGCTGATTATTCATATGCTGTTTCGTGTATAGAGCCTGAATTTATAAAGAGGCGACATCTTATCCATTTGACAGGTCTTCTGCCGAGGGGCGATTGGAAGGCCGCAGCGAAATAAACCTCAACCTTGCTACGATGAATGGGCACTCGAAAGAGTCGGCCCGGCTACTGCTGGACACGGTTTGACCCGGTGGTTGTAAAGGCGCAGCGAAGGATACCTCAACTTCGCTACGAGAAATTGGCACTCAGAAGATTCTTGGCCCAGTTGCTTCAGGATTAGAAGCTTGGCTGCTACTGTATGGACGAAAGCAACAATTAAGAGCATATCAGCTGAAGTTTCTCCTGTTTTTACTGTTTTGTCGCTTGTCAATCGGACATGAACAAATAATCATTTTTCGAAAGCTAGAAAATCATGCCCCACCCATTTTGGGTATTTTATCATACACTTCATCTGCTGTGCCTTTCTACACTGAAATATGCGTTGCATAGAAATAGCCGGTAAAATATCAGTTTCCACCCAGCTAGAGCTCCTCCCTTTTTTAGTTTGTCTCGTTAAACTCCTTCTCTCAACAAGTTGGTAAATCTTAGTCTTCAGGAGAAAGACGCTTAACACTTTTTTCGGTGAATTTATGATCCTGTTTCAAGTCATGGTTCTTCTCTATGCCTGTTCAGAGAAATTAGTACTTTTATTTATTTTCTATACTGCGCTAAATCAAACGAGTAGAAATAAGATGGGATGTCGGTTACGCGCTCGAATAGTTGAAAATTCGTTAAATATTTGATAGAATAGCTGGAAAAATCTTTACGCTTAATCAATAATCGAATAATTGAACTTTTAGGCATCCCTAGAAAATAGTGTAGTTTCATGTTTTTGGTGGTCCTTCGAAAATGTCGAACAGCAGAATTGCAACCAGCAAGTGTAATCCAATAACCAAAAGCGGTGCGATGCTAGTTTTCATTTCGATGCTATGACGACGACTGAATTAAGGGGCTTAGAAGCAAAGGGGTGAAAGTCAATTCTCTTCATCGATTTCCTCTTTTAATGATCATGGCTTCTCTAACCTATTTCGCACTATTTCTGCTATGCTCTTCTATCTTCCAGAACAACCCGCATAAGCGCGAACCATAACTTGACCTTACCTAAAATGGTTAAAATTGTTTATTATTCCTGCTTAACTTCAACTGAAATGGTTATGGAACTTTACATGAACGTTTAATGATAAAGTTTTAACCTTAAGTATTATAGTTTTTTGGAAGTGGACCTTACAAATAATGGGTTGTTAAAAACCATTACCATTCAAAATTCTTGTTTTCTCCATACATTTTCGGAAAGAAAACTATACTAAAACCTTTTAACTTATGGTTTGAGAACATTAATGGTAATGGTTATGGTAACCAGTAAGGTCCATGAATGGTTTTGTAACATCAATCAACTTTATGTGGAATATATCGCGAATTGGTTGCCTGTAAATTACTGATTACCAATTCACGATATATTTCACGTAAAGTTGAGCGATGATACAAAACCATTAATGGACCTTACTGACTACCTTAACCATAACCATTAATGTTCTCAAACCATAAGTAAAAACGTTCTAATATAGTTCTCTTTCCGAAAATGTATGGAGAAAACAAGAATTTGGAATGGTAATGTTTCTTAACAACCCATTATTTGTAAGGTCCGCTTCCAAAAAACCATAATACATAAGGTTAAAACTTTATCACACAAACGTTCATGTAAAGTTCCATAACCATTTCAGTTGAAGTTTAGCAGGGATTATAAACAATTTATAACCATTATCGGTAAGGTCATGTGATGGTTCGCGTTTATGCGGGAAGCTGAATGTGTTTGCCGTCGAGCTATTAACGAAACAGAAAGTCGATGAAGAGAATCGATCAAAATCACTTGCACCCCTGCTTCCAAGTTTGGTTACAAGATTACAACTCTGGAGAGCATTTTGTGTGGTCGTTGGGGGTGTGTGGTTCTGAATACGGCGATGAGCGTGCAAAATGTTACGTAATTGCATGCTCTCTATTCGCATATACCCGAAGATCGGAGGCGAATGCCACTTCGACTTGTTTCGTCTACTAACGACTCTCTGATGACTGTGTTGGGGAAGAAACATATGCATGTACTTAATTGGTTGATTCTTTA